CCTCTTGTTGGTTCCTTCACCACTTGCCACAGGCACAGTCCAGCAACTACGTCATAGAGTTATACAGCGCAGAAACAGACCCTTTGGTCCAACTCATCCGCGCTGACCACATATCCTAAACTGATCTAGTCCCATTTGCCAGCATTTGGCCCATATCATTCCTATTCATGTACCCATTCAGATGCTTTTTAAATATTATAATTGTATCTGCCTCCACCACTTCCATGTTTTAGGACCCAAACAGTTTGGTCAATAGAGGTACTGCTAAGCTGTTTTGGTGATTAAAAATTAAAAGCCAACGTCATAACTAAAAATTTAAGTTCTGTTAAATACAAGCTAGAGAAGTTTTTTTAATGAAAGAAGCTAAATTAGTTAATTTATTTAATTGTAGAGTCACAATTCATTGATGTTTGTGTTCAAATATTCCACGATTAGAACTTTGTTACTATAACTTGAGCTATAGCTCCTCAACTTTCCTGTTACAGTAGTAGAGGTTTACATCAAAATATTCTACAGTTTGATTTTTTTCTGCTTTTGTAATTTACCCAACTGTTTGTGCTTCAAATTCCTCGCAGTGTTAATGATTGGATCCTTTATCAAGATCACAATATGTTACCTGATGTGGTTTTGGTGACAGGCTTTTATATGTCTTCATTTGCCAAGTGGCAGTACAAAATGTTGTTCCAGTTCATAATCACTGCTCTGGAATAACATTACCAAATCTAAAAGCATTTCAACCAATATTATGAATCTGCTTCTTGAAGAGGTTCTGCAGTGCAGATGATTCCCATTGTATGATGAATGGTTCTCTACTGTCCGTTGCTTGGGTAGACTCTGTCCTGGGAGAGATTCTGAGTGAGCCTGTTTATTTTACTGCATTTTTTTTCTAACTGGTATCCTTAGCCCTGGAAGAAATCAGGATGAATTTTCAGGACTCTTTCAACATAACATGCAATAAGTTCAAGGCCTGTGACCCTTCAAGTGTCACAGGACTCAAAATGTTAACTATGTTTCTCTCTCCACAGATGCTGCCACACCTGTTGAGTTTCTCCAGCAATTTCTGTTTGTTTCAGATCTCCAACCTCCAGTTTTTTTTTGTCATATAAAAATGCAGTCTTGTGGAGATCGTCAATATTTGCATCTTTTTTTTTTAAGATTATGCCAGTATTTGCTAGGGGTTCTTTGGTAATGTACTGGTATTTCCCTGGGGTTAATGAGAGTATGCCAGTACTTAGACAGAGTCCAGATGCAGATGGTTTTAGTACAGAAAGTTTTGATACTTGCCCATAAAGTAGGATTGTAGCATTATTCCTGTAAAAATACTTTAATTATACTGTTATTTATGGCCAAGTGATATGAAACAAATGGGTTATATTGCAATCAGGTATTTGCTAACAGATTATTTGGTGCAGTTCAATTTGTTCTGTTAACTCTAATGAAGTCTAAATACATTCTCAGTATCAGAGCATAATCTATAGTTGTGTTTAATACAGTTTAGTGTCAGTTCATGGGATTGTTCTTTTGGTTATCTTCTGGATTAGATTGTGTTTGTCTCCTTTAATGAAAATTGTGTTTGACAGTTAATAACTGAACTATACAAATGAGGAATGCCTGTGAATTGATCCCTGGCCATTGCTGAATTAACTGATTTCAGCTAGGACGAGAACTGAGAATTCATTTTTGCAGCTAGAGGATTACACAAGGGGAAATGGGGCTCCTGATTCTTCTTTAATCTACCCTGCTTGGAAGAGTTTTTGTGCGGTAGTTCAGGGGACAGGATAAAACTTGGTTTTCATAGCCTGTCAAAACTTGCACATGAGGAATGATCAGTGACAAGGCAACTGGAAACAGTTTAAAATTAAATTAATCTCCAGTAAAGAGCAGATACTTTCAGGGAAGACAAGTAAGTGAAGTTGAGACCACAACCAGATCAGCTGTGATCTTATCGAACTGCACAGTGGTCTTAAGGGGGCTGAATGGTTTACTGCTTCTAATTCTTGTGTTCATGTAGGAAAGAGGAATTGAACAAGGAAAAAGGTTACTTTTGGTAGTTTTCTTTGTGAATGTGTGTATATTTTGTTCAAAATGAATTGTGATACTCATTAACAAGAATGGGTTGTTGAGGTTTGAAATAGAATTGCTCAAAATAAATTACTGAAAAAGCAATTCCATTGTGTCAGCCTCATGAAAGTGAAATGATTAAAATTGGGACTTCGCAAGAGGCTAGAAGTGGAGGCGAGAAGAGATCTCTAAAGTTGCTCAGGCTAGCGAAGGAGGTTACACATATAAGGAGGGGGTGAGTCCTTGGAGGTATTTGAAAACTAGGCTAATTGTATTGTGATATTATTGTAATCTATTCAGTTCCAACAAACCAGACACCTACAATCTTACTGAGACATAAAGCCCTGTATGTTCTGAAAACAGAATTGACCAACAACAGCCAGTTATTTAAGGAATATGTTTCCCTTATTAACCATGCATTTAAAATGCTTAACAGAATATTTACTGCAGCTACCACATGAAGCAACGATACAGCTCAGTAAATTAGCATTGCTTATTTTAGTCATTGGGGACAAACTATTCACAACAGCTGAACAATTAGTCGTACTGTATTTATTTATCTAGTGTCGTGTCTAACAGTAAAAAAAAAATCAAAACTACCTGATTGAAACTACTTCACTGTGGGGAATATGATCTTCAGATGTACAGTAAGTTCATTACAAAGGAATATGTGTTGACCCTGGTACAGTAAATCTGTAGTAGCACTTGTTGGCCATATGAGGGGGTTTATGCCCAAAAGAACCCAATCAATCAGATTCCTATTTGACTTTAAAGCTACGGTGCCACAGATATAAATGTAAAATGTATCTCCATAAAAGATGTTACATATCTTTTATTAGTAAATGACAATCATTTAAAGAATATTTTTACTCTACAATTAAAGTATTCTGGTTGTTCCATCTTGATGTATTTGACAAACAGCTGTAATGCTATTTTGTTTAAATTTAACCAGTACTGAGAAGATGAAATGGGAAACTGGAATTGAGCTTTCTGATATTGCTGATACTTATTGACCACTAATTATTCCTGTCAAGGTTCGCAGCCTTAGGATCATTTTCTAATACTCGACCTTCATCGTATTCTAATAGCCGCCTTTTATTAAATTGACACACTTTCAGTTTGATGTTATGTTTTATGGATGCAGTGGGCATTTAGGATATCCTTTACTTTAAGCTATTCTGAATCACTGCACCTGATTTCTGAGATGTGAATTACATTTTCTGATTAAACATCCATGTTCTTTTGAAACAGTCATTACTGATTTAAAATATTGATTTGAAAGTGATTCTGATTTCATGACTAAATTACATGAAATGTTTGACTAATGGAGAAAGCAATCTATAAACAGCATATTTCAAAACATGTAGGTAACATTCACAGTTAGTCCGAAGAATTGATTATAACTTTGTTTTATTCAGTTTCATAAAATGATCGTAGAATCCCTACAGCGTGGAAGCAGGCCATTCGGCCAATTGATCCTTCCAAAGAGTATCCCACCTGCCCACCCTATTCCTGTAACCCTGCATTTCCCATGGCTAGTCCACCTAGCCTTCATGTTCCTGGACACAATGGGCAATTTAGCATGGCCAATCACCTAACCTGCACACCTTTGGACTGTCCAAGGAAACCGGAGGAAACTCACACAGACACGGGGAGAATGTGCAAACTCCACACAGACAGTTGCCCAAGGGTGGAATCAAACCCAGATCCCTGGTGCTGTGAGGCAGCAGGATTAACCCCTGAGCCACTGTGCTATCTTAGAAACTATTTTTGTGCAGTCAGTTCCTAGCTAAATGGACAAAGTTTATTTCTCAATAAAATCACAGCAACAGATTACCTGGTCATTCCTGTTTGTGGGAGCTTACTGTCTGCAAATTGATTGGAGTGTTTGCTACATTTAAGCATTTGAGTACATTCTAAGGTCCTGAAATCTGCGACAGAAATGCAAGGTTTTCTTTCTAAGACCCACTGAGGAACAATAATCACATTTCAGTTGATCATGCTTCATCCTATGATTAGTGTTTTATCATGGGTGCAGTGATTTGCAGTACATTATATGCATTTTGAATTATAAATAGACATTTTATTGTATTCAAAACATTGAAGTCATAGATACCATTATTAATGTCAGGCTGCCTTACCAACAGGTCTGGCAGGATATGTTGTTAAAAAGAAAAATTTGAAGACAATAAATTGTAAGCATAATATCAGATGTTTTGTTTTCATGTTTCAGCTTTAAACTCTGAAATTTTGTTCGAAGGCAGGAAATGTAATTTTTAAATCTAGAATATGTATTTTACAGTGGAAGTCCTGGACTGTTATTAATTAAAACTCCGAATAATGTCCAACATTTATTATTATATCTAATTCTGACAGAAAAATCTGACAATTATTTGTATAGTACCCTGTTTAATATATGTATGTAAAATTTAATAGCACAAACTGTGTAAACTTCAATAGAATATTCCCACTTTGTGGACAATATATTTTACTCCCTAAAAGATAAAGAATTGTGGCTTAAATAGTTAAACACCAGCTGGAAAAAAATACAAAAAGAACTATGGATGCTGTAAATCAGGAACAAAAACAGAAGTTGCTGGAAAAGCTTAGCAGGTTTAGCAGCATCTGTGAAGAAAATATCAGAGATAACATTTCGGGTCTGGTGACCCTTCCTCAGAATACCTAGCAGCGAAGAGAAGATGTGACCACCAGATGCAAGCGTTCCAAAACACATTTAACATGTAGTAATCCTTTGCTGTCAGCACACACAAATGGGGTAAAGCTTATTGTCTTATCCATTTTAATACCAACATTTTATTTGTAAATTTTGCAGAGTTCTGAGGAAGGGTCACTGGACCTGAAACGTTAACTCTGATCTTTTCTTCACAAATGCTGCCAGACCTGCTGAGCTTTTCCAGCAACTTCTGATTTTGTACCAGCTGGAAAAAATTGCATGGGTGAATCTTCATTACTTTATCTTTGTGTTATGCAGTTTATGTTGTTGTGAAAGGGTTACAAAACATATTAGCTAATTTATAGGTCACAGGAGGTACTATGGGAGGCCTTCGCCCCGAAATGCCATAATGCATTGCCCCACACTGCTTTTGCCTTACTGCTGTGCACATACCTAGTAACCTATACTAACTTGGCTTTACAAGATCAGTGCCAGCAGATAGAATTTAGATGCTGGGTGAGTATTATCTGATACAGTGATTAGTGAAAACTAAATGTTATTGAGGAATGAGGCAGATATAAGAAAATTGCGATCTTTCTAGTTGGATCAATTAGTGTTAATTTTCATTACTTCTTTATTCTGCTGCTTTATTTCTTAGCCGAGCCCGATCCCAAGTCCTGTTCTTGGGAAAAAACCAAATGCCACTCAATCACTGCTTGCCTGGTGCAAAGAAGTGACAAAAAACTACAGAGGAGTGAAGATCACGAATTTCACGACATCGTGGAGAAATGGACTGGCTTTCTGTGCAATTCTAAATCATTTCCGGTCAGACTTGATGTAAGTGTTGAATGTAGCTTGACTACTATAAAAAGAACTCACCTGTGTGTTGTTTCTTTCCAATAAGTTGGGTGAAATTCAACTTTGCCAAAGGATGCATATCGGGCGGTAGCAGATTGTCTTTCTGTTATGCAGCTCAGTTGATTGAAGGTCGCAGATGGGAAAATGGGGCAGGATGTAATGGTGCAGAGGGAGGGCATGTAATGGAACAGAACTGTATTCAGTCATAGACAACAAGGTGCAGAGCTGGATGAACACATCAGGCCAAGCAGCATCATAGGAGCAGAAAAGCTGACGTTTCGGGCCTAGACCCTTCATAGGTCCGAAACGGCAGCCTTTCTGCTCCTATGATGCTGCTTGGCCTGCTGTGTTCATCCAGCCCTGCACCTTGTTGTCTCGGATTCTCCAGCGTCTGCAGTTCCTACTATCTCTGTATTCAGTCATTGTGTGTAACAGAGCAGGCTGCGTTGGAGGGGTGTGTAAAGAGCAGTGTGTGTGTTTGGCAGAACATGTAATGGATCAGGGTGTGTAACAGGCAGAGTGTGTAACAATGTGGGGTTGTAAAGGGCAGGGCATGTATGAAGCAAGAGACTGTAATGGGCAAGATGTGGTAACAAATTATAAAGTGACAGAGTGGGCCTGTATTAAGCAGGGCATGTAACAGACGTGACTGTCTTGGGCAGGGTGTGTAATGGGTAGGGAGCATAATAGCTTGCGGGGAATGTAGCAGCTTTGTTCCTGTACTAAATTTAAATTTCACCCTCACATCTCTTTATCTTTCCTCACCCCACCCTGTAAAATGTTCACCTTTTTAACTGATGGAAGAGAAACCCTTTAATTTACAAAGCCTTTTTGTCTCACTTTGGCTTTGTATTGCTAAAACAATGTTTTAAATTGTTCTGCAGAATTTACAAATAAAATGTTGGTATTAAAATGGATAAGACAAAAAGCTTTTCCCCGTCTGTGTTGGCTGACAGCAAAGGATTACTGCATGTTAAATTTGTTTTAGAAGACTTGTATCTGGTGTTCACGTCTTCTCTTCACTGCGAGCTGGAAAGGCTTTGGGGGAAAAAATTGATTCTGTGGTTTCTTTTATTTTCCACTCTGCTTGTTTTGTTGATTGCTTTACAATGAAATCACTGCTTATTACATAATGTCCTTATTGCTATCAATATTTTCATGTTGTATGTGTTTCATTTGAAGTGAGCATTAACTATCCACTGCTTTCCCATCTTTTTCTCTTCCTCACCACTCCCACCCTCACAAATTCTCAACCCAGTGACTACAAATCTCTGAATCCTCAGGATATTAAAGAAAACAACAAAAAGGTAAGAACCACCACAGAAAATGACATCTCTGCAATTTTGGTTTCACCAGTGCTCTTTTAGTAATCCCTGGAAGGTGAGGTTGTTTTGTAAGGTTATAATTGCTGCTTGCAGAAGGTAATCTCCCCAGCAGTTTTATCTGATGCATTATCGACTCCTGTTTGCATTGGTCACAAACGTTTTAAATCTTCTGGAAGAAAGTCTCTGTAACATAGTATACCTTGCTGTGGCTTTCATCCATGTATTGTGGAACAGATTTTTTTTAAGGTGAGAAAGAGTTTTAACAGAAACCTTCATCTGTCCATTGCATTGCTGATATCTATAAATTTTATTTGTGCTTTGACTCATTAAATGTGGCAGAGCTGTCTTAAACAGATTTTTCCCTTTTTGCAGCTGGCTTCTTCCTTCTGCTATTGCTTCGTGTTTAAAAGCTGCATTGAGTATCTCGGTTGCATCCTGCAGGTTTATTTCCTGTCTTCTCACAGTTGTGACTGATAACCCCTACTGCCCTTGTTTGGAATGAATGCAAAATGGAGAACAATGTCTGTGTATAGTAACTATGCAAATGCATAAAGTTTCTGACATCTCCTCCTCCTAACCAATTAACACAACAACTCAAAATGAATGAAGGCTTTCTTTGAGACCAGAGTCTTTCTGCCTTTTCTCCATTTACCAGTTAAAATTAAGTTGCAGGTGATCGTTGCAAGGGCAGTAAAGGTTAAATTGAAGGAATGACTGTTATGTGATGGGCAATACCAGGTCAGATTATAACCCTTGTTTCAGTTCATTGAAATCTAGAAGAAAGTGCATTTTTAAATAATGCCCCAGACACACATCAATTAATAAATAAAACGATTCATAAATCCTAAGAATAGTTTCTCTCAGTCTGTTTTTGAAAACACATGGAATCTACTTGCAATCTGATCTTGGCTGATGTATATTAGTGCATTGTGTATTGAGAAATATTTAGTTTTGGCAGTGGTGCTGTTATTGTTGATGGACAGCATTGATGTCTGTCAATCAACCTGTCATTGCTGTATTAGACAGTTTTGCAGAAGGAGAACGCACGTCTTTTTAAAAATGAATTGTGACCATTCTTTCATGTCTTTCAGGAATTCAAAATAAAGAAGCAATTCTAATAATTATTGCAGGCTGAAGCAATTTTAATTGAATTGCTAAATATTTATTTTGGACTTCAGTAACTAAAATTTCACTTTGTTTCCTAAAAATATGCAACTTTAATATGTAGCATGTAAAAAATTAAAGGAAAACTGTGTAAACGCTTGTAGTTTTCAGTTCCCTTGTTGGTTTGTTTCTTTTCATATGTAAGTTCATTATGCCTTACTATAAGCATGATAGATTATTGAGAGGAATATCAGAATTAGCAGCAGGAATAAGTCATTCAGCCCCTCATGCCTGCTCTACCATTCAACTAGATCATGGCTGATCTTTGACCTCAATTCTATTTTCCCATGCTATTCCCATATCCCTTGACATTTTTAATCTGGAGAAATCAGTTGATCTATGTCTAACTGCCTGAATGACTGAACCTCCGCCCCACAATTCCAAAGATTTGCCACCCGCTGAGAGAAGAAATTCCTCCTCATCTCCATCTTAAATGGCCTATCCCCTTAACCTGAGACTTCTTCCACCCTTGAGCCAGGGAAATGATCTTCCTACACTTACTCTGTTGAGCTCTGTATGAATTTTGTATGGTTCAATTAGATGGCCATATCTCTGTAATATTTTTAAAATGTTAGATAACTATTACCCTAAGATTATCGTCCTAAAAAGGAATTCCCCCAACTGACACACCGATAAAGATTAAGCATAAAAAATGCAGTTATTAAGTTGTATGAAAGCAATACAGCCAAAATACAACTTATGAATATTAGTTCTGGCTTTACCTGGAAAAACAACTTTAATGTGAATTGATTCTCGAGAATCCAGTTTAGTTTTCATAAAAGCCCTTTAATTCATTACCCAACCAACCCAGAAATAACATACCAGAATGTGACTGCTGTTGTGGAATTATCAAATTGTGATTACAGTACAGGAGAACGCTGTTTGGCTTGTCCATATCAGCACTGTGCAAGAACAACTCAGTTCATCCCAGGCCCCAGCCTTTTCTCCCTGTTCCTATATTTTTTTACTCTTCAAGGGATCAAAATTGTCCAGTTCTCTTTTGTGATTCTAGCTGTACGCTGCATGAAAATTTTATTTCCCTCACATTGCCTTTGCCTTTGGTTCATACACTTTATTTTGGTCAATTATTTCTGTTACCAGCCTCCTCTTATACTGTCTTCTCTTATTCCTTTTCTTCCCTCAACCTTTTATATTCGTACAGTTCTTACTTACATTAGCAACCTGACAAATAAGTAGACTGCATATATTTTGGAATCTAATGCTTTACATTTCTGGGCATGCTTCATTTTGTAAGATTTAATTGCCAGAAATTATCTTGGAGGCAAACTTAAAAATGTCAGTGTATCTCTCAGCTTACAGATCAAAATGTAAATTAAAGATAGACTTATCTGTAATAATCACTTGTTGCTAAATAGTGTACGGGTAAAAAGAATTACTTTAAAAACAAAACTAGTGCCTATTCACTCAGTATTGTAATTTTAAAAATATACAATTAGACTAAACGTTGGGTGCTATCTCCAGTTAATGGGAGATATGTCATGATCAACAGGTTAATGTTTATACTTACAGGAAATTAATCTGCTCACCTTTTTTATAATGATATTAAAAAACTCAACAGCTAAGCAGAATGAACAGGTTACTAAAACTTGTAATACTGCAAATCTTGAGAACACAAGATTTGGGCCAGTTACGTTGTGATTAACCATAATAGTATTCTGAGCATCCCAGTTTGAAACTGGTAAAAACTTTGAAACTGTGAAGCTAAATTTAAAATGGAGAGTGCTAGGGAAACTCAACAGGTCTGGCAGCTGTGATGAAATGTGCCTTTAAAAGGTATTTCATAGAATTATCGTAGAATCCCCACAAATGTGGAAACAGGCCATTTGGCCAGACAAGTCCACACCAGGACCCTCTGAAGAATGTCCTACCCAGACCCATCCCCCTGCCCTATCACTGTAACTCCGTATTTCCCATGGCTAATGCACCTAACCTACACAACCCTGAACACTATGAGCAAATTAGCATGGCAAATCCACCCTTAGTTGCACGTCTTTGGACTGTGGGAGGAACCAGAACACCCGGAGGAAACCCACACAGACACTGGGAGAATGGGCAAACTCCACACAGAGAGTTGCCCGAGGGTGGAATGGAACCCAGGTTCCTGGCGCTGTAAGGCAGCAATGCTGACCACTGTGCCATCCTGTTTTGCTGAATTTGCCTTTGCCAAGTATGTCTTTATGGGATCCTGCTATATTGGAACCGTTTATCAATAGAATTAAAGTGATGCCAATTCGTATTTTTTTGTTTGTATTTTGGTGTAAGAATAAAGTGTGTTTTGCTTAAAGCCCAGACCTTTGACCAATCGAATCACATCTGGTATGCAGCACCTTAAACTTCCCTTTATATGAGATAAATGTTAGGGACTAGCCTATCTCCTCGCCATATTTTGAGGAGTTTTGGTGTGGTCCGTAACACAGCATACGTGGAGAGAGGAACAAAGTTAACATTTTAATCCGCTATGACTTCTTCAGAACTCAGGTGAGTTAGAAGAAGGAGTGGGGTCAGAGAGAAGGGGAGGGGCATGAGTACCTGTGTGTGGTTGGAGCTCATATTCCTTAACCTGTGAAAGGAAGAGAAAAGCGGAAGAGTGTTTGTTGTTAGTGTTTAATGAGATGAAGAATGAAATGGAACCAGGAACCAGGACAGCTTTGAGACAGTGGGAGGTGATGCTGATGAAGAGAAAGGTTGTGTGTGTACATGTGGTGACACATGGCATTGAGTGTGGATCTCAGGATGCGACGAGAACAGCTGTCCAAGGAGTGTTGTGTGTCTCTGAGATGGGTGGATTCAAAACATAAAGGATGGAACTTCAATTGAAATCCATATGGGGGATGTGTTGGAACCAGAGGCAGTCACTGAGGAAGGAGATTTGATAAACTGAGTCTTGTTCAACACCTTGTCAAAGAGCAAGAGGGAAATAGAAAGGAGTGGAGGTGAACAAGATAAAAAATTCAGATAGAAATCCCGTTGGAGAGCAGAGCTTCTTCAAGGAGGATAATCCTGGAAGACAAGTGGCAGTGAATTAAGCTCAAATTACTGAGAATGCTGGAGGTTTGAAATAAAACTGCAAAACTATGATTGCTTTCATCAATATTCTCATACATTTCTTCTCTACAAAAACATTTAATCCATACTGTTTATTAATTAAAATGAATGTATTGACAAATTTTGAAAGTTTAAAAAAGTGAGCACGACATGATTCAACTGATTAGAGTGTAGCGTTAGGGTTCTATATACAATACTTTTTGGAATAATTCATTTGGAGCACCAGGACTTCTGATAGTTTCATTTAAAACACTTACGAAGATGTGGAAAAGGCAAACAAGTTGACCATTCAGCCCCTTGGGCCTGCTCCACTAAGCAATAATATCACGGCCGATGTAATTGTTACCTCAACTCCAACTATTTGCCATTGTCTAAGTTTTGACTCCCTTGATCATGGGACTTATTGTGAAATAATATAATTTGAATTCTTCAGGTGACAGCCTAAAGTATGAGAGCAAAATGCAAGTTATGTGAATACTCCTGCTCAATCAGATTTAATAATATTTTTGACCGCAATAATAATAAGTTGCTGCTAGGTAAAAGGTGCTCTCCCTCCCCTGAAGGCAAATTTTCTGGTCAACAATGGCAGAGCATTGTATACAGTTCATAGAAACGTAGAAATTAGAAGCAGGAGTAGGCCATTCAGCCCTTCAAGCCTGCTCTGCTATACAATATGATCATTGCTGATCATCTATCTCAGTAGCCTGTTCCTGTTTTTTCCCCATGCCCTAACCCTAACCCTTTGATCCCTT